CTCACCTTCCTCTCAGGGCCCTATACAGCGTATACCGCCCTCGCTGAACAACTAGAGTGCACCTCAGATCACAGCACCCTAAAAACCTACCTTCACTGGAATTACCGAAGCCAAAAGCCTGCAAAGAAACTCAAGCTAAATATATTGAATGAAACGCTCTTTAAAGACCTACTAGAAACTAATCTCACCAACATTGCAGCTATCCCCAGGACACCCTCTCTAAGAGACCTAGATCAAGCCGCATCATCCCTTACACAAGCCCTTACAAAAGCCTATACAGGATCTGCAAGAAGATCCATAAACGGGCTTCTTCAACAATCTTGGTAGAACAAGGATTGTATAAAGGCTGTGTATAAACATAGAATCATCAATACACCTACATCCAAACGCTCTCTTCGGAAAATAATCCGAAAAGCAAAACACACCTTCTATATTACGAAAGTGGATAAAGTAGAAGATATAAACGATGTATATCGAATGGCCAAATGGCATCAATCCACAGGAATATACCATACTCCCCCTTTAGCAGATCTATCAAAACAAACCATTGCAAATACTATCGAAGAGAAAAGGGAAACCTTCGCCAACAACCTACTGACAAACCTAGCCGAGGTTGACGACATCCCGTTTGATACCCCTACAGCCCCAAGCAGATCTATCACCTTCCCTGATATAGCTATACAAGATATAGAGCTGGCCATTTTAAAAGCAGGGAACACAGCACCTGGCGCAGACGAAATCCCAACAAAAATCCTACAAGTCGCATGGCTACAGATAAAAGAAGTAACCCTATCCCTTTTCAAAGGCTGTCTACATCTAGGACACCACCCAAAATGCTTCCGATTAGCTACCATCGTAATCATCCCTAAACCCAACAAGTCAGATTATACCAACCCAAGATCATACCGACCAATTGCCTTGCTCTCGGTCCTAGGCAAAGGCCTCGAAAGACTCATTGCGAAGAAGGTATCATGGCTTGCTCTAAACTACCAAGTCCTAGCGAACCAACAGCTCGGAGCTCTACCCTTGCGATCCTCAGTGGACCTCACCACTTGCGTTACACATGACATTGAGGCATCCTTAAAACAAGGGTTAAAGACCACCCTGCTCACAATGGATGTAAAAGGTGCTTTTGACGCAGTGCTACCAGGAAGACTAGTGAATCGCCTTCGGGAACAAGGATGGCCAAACAACCTGGTTAGATGGGTTCAGTCCTTCGCCATTAATCGATCCATCAAGATCCGACTAGACGGCGAGATTGGCCCGGAAACAAAGCTAGAATGCGGTCTTCCTCAAGGTTCACCGATCTCCCCGATCCTGTTCATGCTCTACATCGCGCCTCTCTTTTGGATGGGCAAACCACAGAGCAGATTCGGATATGCAGACGATATCGCGATACTAGCGACATCAAACTCACTACAGACAAACTGCGATTCTTTAAAAATGGATATGCAAGAAACTCTCGAATGAGGAAAAACCAAAGGTATCACTTTTGACCTCAAGAAATCTGAGCTTATACACTTCTATAAAGGACACCGAACACTAACGGATACCCCTGCAATACACACCGGATCTATGAATATAGAGGTCAAACCTGGCCCGCTCAAATGGCTCGGAGTCCACTTCGATAGGAAACTATGCTTCAAACCACATGTCCAGATCCTCGCAGCCAAAGCCCTCAAGGGAGCCAACGCACTGAGATCCCTCAGCAATATACACCGAGGGATACCCCCATATCTCACCAGGAAAGTGGCTGAAGCCTGCATACTCAAAAAGTGCTATTTCGCCTCGGAAACGTGGTGGCCAGGCCGAACCAGAACAAAGAAGAATGCCCTAAACAACCCGATCTCGATCTCAAATGTAGTGGACAGCCATCTAAGCTTACTCAACAAAGTGGTAATCACCTGTACAAGGGCAATCCTCCCAGTATACAAAACCACAAACACAGCAGTACTCTACGAGGAAGCCAAACTCAGACCATCCGAGATCAAGCTAAACCTGATTTCACAATTATATGCGGCACGAACCACCAGACTAGACCTTTACCATCCTCTCAGGATCAGAGCAGAGAACATAACCAAAGCCAGAGAATATAACCGCACCCCAGATACAAGATTCGCAAAGCTCATCACAGCATTACCGGAGACTGAACACATAAACCCCTTGGCCTTCCCACCCTGGGAAATCAGAGAGTCGAGGGCAGAGGCCGAGGCCCGCATCAATGGTCCGATGGGCAGAACGAAGGCACAAGCAGCCGAAGACTTCAAAGCCTTCCACGCCAAGATCCCAAGAAGCGATATACAAATCTTCTCGGATGGCTCAAAAAGTGAAAGCAAGGATGGCGCAACTGGGGGCGGATTCGTAATCTCACAATTCGATATTCAGATAGCACACCATTCTTTCTCATTAGGCACAAATGCAGAAGTGTTCGATGCAGAAGCCACAGCCGCAGTAGCAGGGGCAGCAAAAGCCCTCACTCTAGCATCAACCAAACTGGCCACAGATCTCTGGATCTTCTTAGACAACCACGAGGCTGCTCTCCGATTAGGATCCCACTTCAATGGTTCCTCACAGAGAGTCTTTGAAGACTTTCTGAAGCTCATACAAGCTTGGGCTGTTAGACCAAGGCTCCCACACACCTCCCCCGGGAAAATCCGCGTCCGATGGGTCCCAGGGCACCTGGATATCCCTGGCAACGAAATAGCTGACAAAGCCGCTAAGGAAGGAACAAAACTCCCCTTTCCCCTCAACCCGATCTGTACGCTAGCATCCCTAAAAAGAATGATCAGAACAAGGGCCAATAAAGCAGACGAACAATTATGGAATACAGTCAGGCCACAATACTACAAAGATCTCCAACTCAACTACACTTCTAATACAGACACCCTCTCTCTGAAGAGAGCCACACTCCATTATATTCTCGCTATCAGATCACAGCATGGCGACTTCGCAGCATACCATGAACGCTTCAATCACACTACAGTCTACGTCCATTGCTCGTGCGGTAAAAGGAAAACTCCATTACACTTTTTCTTTTGCAAAAAAGGAAAAGCCTTCAAAGCGCTCACAAAGAGCCCCCCCTCCGAAGCTATCCCCTGGCTTCTAAGCAATCCCACCGGTATAGCCAAACTAGCCGAATGGCTAGAATACACCAAATTCTACACAAAAATCTGCCCGTGGCACACAGGTGCAAGATAAAAAAAAAAATATAAAAAAAAACTTTCTTTCATTGGATTCAAACGGAGTTAATAGGTCTCTAAGGGAGCTTTTCCTTCCTCTTCTTTCCTCTCTTTCATTTTTCCCTTTTCTTTCATTCAAAAAAAAAAAAAAAAAAACAAGTATGCATACGAACAACCAAAACAAGTACGAGGAGACAGGGAGAGAGATCAAGATTTAGTGATCTAGTGGACGAGGATGACCACAATTACAACCCCAAAAGGCCTACCGGCCCAAACCCCCCCCTGCGAAGGCAATCATGTAAACCCTGCCCTAGCCCCCTTTAAATTGTATATAAATACTCCCCCTAGCTAGCTAGTAAACCACTCAGAGGCTTCTCTGAGCGTCATTTGTCCAAAACTGGAATAGATGGCTAAGGTTATCACGCGCCAAGGCGCGGGGGCCTACGGCCTATGACGATAAACACAATCAATCAATCAATCTCTACTCTTGTTTTCCTTTCTTCTTTTCTCCTTAGCTTAGTATTTTCTAATACAAGATACTTTACCCAGTATTCTTGAGTGTGACAAATCTAAAATCTAAAAAAAAAAAAAATTTAAATATCAATTTAATAATTTCTGATTGATAATTTATTATATTATTAAAACTTACAATATAAAAACATTTATATATATACATATAATAATAATATAATAATAATAATAATAATAATAATAATAATAATAATAATAATAATAATAATAATAATAATAATAATAATAATAATAATAATAATAATAATAATAATAATAATAATAATAATAATAATAATAATAATAAATTCAAAAAAAAGATAATATATATATTTATGTTACGACGGCTTCTGGCCTCGTATCATATGACCACGTACGAAGTCATGTGATCCCTTCGATTCCTTTGTTACGTCCAAAACGATTAGTATGTCACATGACCATAAAACATGTGATGGAACGGTGAGGAACGAACGTTCCTAGGAACAACCAGGAACGCTCGTTCCCAAGAACGACGATTCCTAGTTAACCATAGGCACGAAGGACTATACAATCAAGATGGATTTCTTTTGTATAGAGCTTCGTGCTTAAGATCAATCATTTAGTATACTCTACTATTAGTTACGAATTGCATTATTGTCATTACTTTAAGTCCCTGCTTGACGCCTAGTTATAAACCACCTCGAGAGCCTAGAGCACTTCCACGTGATCTAGACGACAAACCTCGTAACAAAAAGTAACAGAGTATTAGTTAGATTTATTCTATTTATATTACATTCTTAAATTTCTATGTATATTATAGTCATAACAGAACAAAGTATACTTTCAAAACCCTATCATCATCATAGTTATAATAATAAGAATAATTCTATTGATTCTCCACACCAGGTAGGTACTAGATAATTAAGTATCTAATTCCTTCAACTTCAACTTCATCTCATAACCTCATCTTATAACCCCATCTCATCTCTCATAACTACTAGGTATCCATTGATGGTATAACGCAAACTCAAACTCCTTCCCAATCATATTCATAATGAAAAAATCATATCATACGATACCAAGTTACCACAATTCCCATCCCATTCCGCCCCATCCAATCCATCCAATTCCAACCAAAGGGTTATCAATGCGAAACCATTGAAACATCCATATGTATATGCCTGCGCCATATATATGAACTTTCATAATTAACTCCATCATGCATATCTAGGAAAGAAACCGAAACTCCATCGCTAAACCAATTCGAAATGAAAATCTATCTCCTTCCATCCTTCTCATTCCACAACACCATCACCAACCCTCATCACCATTCAACCACTCAACCTTCTTCTCCCTACCCAATCTATTTACCCCATCTCTCTCCAAATCTCTCAATCCAATTCTTCTTAACAGTCCACATCCTAGCTCTCTTTCCCCAAATATACATTGGTATACTGGCCGCCATCAAAATTAATTGAATAACTCCCAACCAAATAAAAACACTTTTACTTCCACTTCTCTCCAACCATTTCGTAAAGAACAAACTGAATACCAATCCATGAAAGATATTCTTACTAAAGTTCAAAGTTACTAATGCTTCTCCTGCATATTGTCGATAACTATCCACACAGAAAGTGATTGCCGTTGTTGAACCAAGAGAACAACCAAACGAAATAATACCGAAAAAGATTGTTGGTACAATCCATTTATCATGAACATGAGCGGACCAGCCAAAACCCATTAGTCCAATGACGGTGGTAACTGCGACTGGTGCTGCCATTATCAAACGGAATTCAGGTTCATAAAGGCCTCCATTGCGACGAGACATGGCGCGTACAATAACATCACTGACTTTACCAGCAACAGCCGTACCTAATACACCACCAACAAATGGTGAGATATAGATTAAACCAGTTGATAGAGCAGAGAAGTTGTAGGTTTCTTTTGTTCGATAAATGACGGCGACAGATTCGGATAAAACGATGAGCCAACCTATTGAACAAGCGTATACAATAGAAGACCATAAAACAGCCGGATATGTGAATAAAATGAAAGGACGAATGGCTACTACTAGCCATTTATCTTTACACAATCGACCATTCCAAACCTTGAGTTGTTGTATGAATGTTTGTCTCGGACCATCTCGAAGTTCTCTAGTGTATTGTGGTCCAAGGGATAATTCACGAGAAGCACCTTCTTCAATATGTCGAAGAGATGCACCTGATCTGACTCTTTCCATTGGACGACCTCGATCGACGTAATTTCCTCCCGACTTTTCCACATTATTATAGTAAGGTGAGTTGAAATTGTGTAAAGTAGGTACCCCTGTTGAGTTTGGAGATTCTTCTTGATGTATGAAGTCATGATCACGACTCGTAGGTCGAGTAGTGTTAGGATCAAATGATACATGTGCTACACAAGAGATTGTTAGCTCGATGTTGGGTTAATTGAGAAGACTATCTCTTACCGTGATGGAGATTGGGTCTAGTGTGAGGACTTGTAGGTCTAGTAATAACATCTTTATCTTCTTTGTCTTGCTTATCATCTTCATCAATTTTTGTTGAAGTTGAATCTGAATTCATATCATCCGGAACGAAACCAATATGCATACTTCGAGTTGGTTCAGTTGGTCGCACCTGGATTTGAGGAGATCTCGTTGGTTGTTGTTCTCCTTCAGTTCCATCGAGTTGAGGCTGATGAGCTACATCAACTCTACTTGATGAACGTCTGAGTCCTCCCAGAGTATGAATTATTTGTGACATGTTGGAATTTTTCCTGCTTCGACTTCTAGATCGCGATCTTTTAGGCCGTGGAGTTCGATCCCAGAATGTTTCTGGAACGAATAAGAAAAGGAGTATCCAACAAAAGCCAGCAATCATGGTGACAACCCAAAATACCCATCTCCACCCAAGTGATTGAATGACAGCGGCACTGACAAGTGGTACCAAATTCTTTCCACCCAGAAGTAACAAAGTATAAATCCCAATACGATAAGCACGTTCGTGTAAAAAGAAAATCTCGGCAATTGTTGCAGATGGCAAACATTCGACTGGACTAAGCGCAATACCCTGAACGATTCTGGCAATGAGAAGTGAAATATATGTAGGTGAAAGAGCGCACCATACGCAAGAGAGAATGAAAAGAATGGCTCCACCAAGGTAGACTGGACGTTTTCCGTAAAGAATTGCTGTAGGTGAAGCAAATACCGAACCAACGCCAAGTCCCATCATATACAATCCAGTTGTAAGTGCAACATCGGCGGTTGTAACGTCGTACGTAGATGCCACATTGGTAAATCCGGCAGCTAAAATTGGTGTCATACCACCTCCTAACATGCAGTATAATCCGAGGGAAAGTAATGCTGCATCTCTTCTCCACACAGGCCAATTCAGAGGATCATTACTTGATTCTTCCGGTTGAGGATCCAAAACGGTCGAGCCATCTTTTGTTAATTTCTTTTCGGACCAAGTTGAAGCTGCACGACTTCTATCGTATGGAGTTTGAGGTGGAAGTGTAGATGTTGAAGTTCTCGCGGGGGCATTTCGCAAACCTAACGGTTCGTTTCGTTTACCTGTGAGTAAGAGGATCGAGCCTGGGAAGTTGATTCATTAGATATTGTCGAAATTAAGATGGATTGAGTAGAAATCTTACCAGGAACTTCATGAGTATTAGGCACATTTAAAATGCCCATACTCCATTTCGAAGGACGACCTTTAACATGGGGTTCTTCCAAATCTCCCTCTTCTTTTTCGTTTGTTGGAGAGTTGAGAGCAGAATCTCGAACGAAGAATGATCGTGGTTCTGGAGTGGCTTCCTTGGGGGAAATATCTGTGATTGAATCTTCGACCATTTTGATGATGGTAGATTAAAGAGGAGGAAGGATTAATATATCATATCCAAGTGGTGGTGATGTCTAGGTTGTCGCAAATGATCAAAGCAAACGGGCTTCACCAGCCTTATCGATGAGGCTGGCTGGAAGAAACTGAGGAGTCCTTGGACTCGATCAATAGGTAGGGGAGGCAAGTGAAGTGAATATAAAGATAATAATTACTCTCTAAAGAATATAGGAAATTGAGCTATAGGAAAACGGAATATATATGAAAATTGTAGGAAGAGGTTGAGGGGCAATGAGGAAATCGGAATGGCAGAAAACCGACTCTCACATGCATAAGATCCAAGATATTTTTAACATGGGAAGATAATTGGGGTATTTGTACACATAAGGGATTTTCGATAAGAAAAAGGAAAGAACTAGTTAAGTTATTAGTATATGTTGGTAAGGATGAAGGGTTGAATTTCTTTTCCCTTCATTACTTAATTGGGCGGTGTAGTTGGAATTCAAAGTCCTGGTGGTATTTTCAATGACGACAATCCCTCCAAATTGGATCCAAACTCAAAGGTTTAACCCGAATGAGCATACTAACTGGGCATCCAACGATGATTTTAGTGTGGAAAAAAAAGAGGTCCTTGAAATGTCAAGGAAGGGAAGGTCATATGGGGTAATTCGAGCGCCACAGAGGTCAAAATGGAGATGGAGACACAACAGCGGTGGAGTAACTTCCAAGACATATGTGTTGATAAAGAGGTAAGATAAGCGCTTGATATGGGGTTGTTTGGATGTTTTCATGATTTGGAAAGTGGGCAGAGGATTTCAAGTGGTTGGAATGTTTAAGTTGTGCTCGTGTTGGTTTTATTTGTTATGATGAAGAGGGAGAGGGTGAGTGTGAGGTGAGGTGAGGTGAGGTGAGGTGAGGGTTTCACTGAAGTTGTGGTGGGTTGTTGTTGTTGTAGGTTGTGGTAGGTTATGCATCTGGTAGTAATGTAGCCAGCCACACATATTCAAAACTACAAGGTTACAATAAATATCCTCCATATCATAACAAAGCTCACTTACTCGTAGATCTTTATGAGATCTCAAGCCCCAATATAAATCCTTGTTGCTTGTGCTTACGCTTACGGTTCTTAACCCCCCATCATATGCACCAACGTACATCCTACAGGGAATTGATGCCGGTGTTCATCTCCCAAATATACCGACTGTGGCAGGCAGATTATCAGATAACGCGCGCTTCCCGGTCTTTGCGACCTTGTTGAGCACGAAAAAGCTTGGTGGGAGGGGTCGTGATGTTAACAAACTATTCACATACCAGGTATCTACTTGTTTTGCTCAACGGCGCAACCCAATAATGGGATTATCCGAGGTGTGATGATCATTTGGGTACATGCTCTGTATACTTCTTCGCATCTCGTGAAGAGAATATTCAACATGTTGGGCAATCTGGTGGACTACAAGTGGAGGTACAATATGGGACCATCTCTTCAAGTAGGCCCTACTTTGATTGCGCGATTTACAAAGTCCTTGATACATTCTACTACATTCTCGTGGGTACATACAACAACAGATACATCACTGTACATATAAAAGTCTTACAATCGACTTGATCTTATCACTTTATTAATTATCTTCCAAATAAAAGATGTGTCTACAAGGTATTAAGTATATTAAGTACTAGGTACTTCAAACATTCTATGCATAGAGTGGAACATCCAGCCAGCTGATCACAAGTCATCTGTTCTTCAATCATGCACAACCAGTTTCCCTCCTTGGTTTTTGCTCTTCAATCCGGATCCATTTCTACCCCAATCTAACATCTTTGCATAACATACGCCTCTTTATGTAGCATATTTTCTGAAACATCGTATTTGCTCAACCCCAGATTCCAAATCATTGGCTTTCGGACAATACCGACAAGAATTTTGGAAATTTCCGGGGTAATACTACTTTCCTATATAGGTGTACTTTTTGATAAGATGAACATTATTGTTTGAGAATACTTATATATCAATATAGGTAAACAAGGTTATTTACATCTTTCAAATCACAACATTTGCATCAAATGTATCTCCATATGTACATTTATATTGCACATTGCATATATAAATATGTAAATATAAATATAAACTCCAACTCCCGAAACTTCATTCGATTTCCATGCAACATAAAATAAGTCGAGTGACCAGAAATTGTCCCAAACAAGTTTCTTTCCACCTTGGAACAACTTCCATCCGGAAAATCTAGCAACATTAGAGTAACCTATACGGGGCGGCTTCTCGCATGAAATTAATCTTCACTTCATCTTCCTTCATCTCACCACCACCAGTCGACGGGTGCACGGACTCATGAGACACATAAACTCATAAATATTCGCAACTCAACAATATCACCCATTCATTACACAATACACTCCAGAAAGCGTAAAACTACCCTTCCTAATAGAATCTCACATGGCGAATTCAATACACCAAAAAAAGTTCAATTTTTTTGACTCAGAAATCGACGAATGCGATGGAAAGGAAAATGTACTTACCTAGGTACTATCGCGAAATGTTTAGGATTCTTGAATGCAATAGGCTGTAGATGGATGGTGCATCAAGGTGACAATAGGTGTGTAATCTTATTTCAATTCATATATATATATACACATGTACTCTATATGTATTATATCCCCTCGTTTCACTACCTACCTAGGTACTTGAAATAATATCATAATTCCGTAATTGGAGAACTGATTATGTTACGACGGCTTCTGGCCTCGTATCATATGACGACGTACGAAGTCATGTGATCCCTTCGATCCCTTCGATCCCTTCGGTAAAGGGATCGAAGGGACCGAAGGAACGATAGGCATGAAGGTCTATATAATCAGGATGGTTTCCGTTGTGTAGAGCTTCGTGCTCAAGATCAATCATTTAGTATACTCTACTATTAGTTACGAATTGCATTATTGTCATTACTTTAAGCCCCTGCTTGACGCCTAGTTATAAACCACCTCGAGAGCCTAGAGCACTTCCACGTGATCTAGACGGCAAACCTCGTAACACTCTCCTTCCAAATCAGTAATCGAATGATCGTCCGGACCTGATCTCCCGTATATTCCATTCAAGATCCCTTCAGATGATTATTGACCTCAAGAATAGTATCTTGGATTTATATATAGATTACATCTATATAATTGAGTACCAGAAGTATAGACTAGAGTATATGTACTTTTTTCTATTTATTAATAGATTGATAAAGTTCGATACAGCTGATTGTATTGATGAGGTAGTCTTTGTAGAGATTACGGATAATGACTCCGTGTTATAGGTCTTGATAATTATTTATATAATTTACAATTTATGTGAAACAGATAATCTGAAATCACAGTATATATAAACGAAGTATATAGGTGAACCAAAAGCATATATAAAGTGTTTTCTTAAGCCCTTTAGTATCTGTATAGTTATCAATAATAATGGATATTTTACTTGCCGCCACCAGAATGATAGCCAGTCCTTTATAGTCCAGTAGAATAATAACCAGCTGGATGTGATCTGTGATAATTTCTAGATAATTCCCTGTAAGCCGTTCCTGTTTAATAAATACTGGTCTCATACAAACAGTCCTCACTACCTATAATTGTCCTCAAAAAACATAAATCTGATTGGGATAATGAATTTTAAGGTTGAAAAACGCATATAACATTGCCCTCAGCCTCTCCGAGGAAGATTTATATTTTATTTCTATAGGGAAGCAATATACAACAGACCCCCTGCTTTGATCCTGTCAAAAATCATCTGTTAAAGATTATTTGATATTATAATAAAATATAAAAAGGATGAAGGATTTGAAAACAAATTAAAGGAAATATATAAAGTATTAACTTAGTATAGAATAGTTTATGAATATACTAAGCTGGATAAGGATATTGATATCGAAGATTGAGTGATATTTCTCGATTTAGAATAAGCTGAAATAGAGAGGATAGAGTTGGAGAGAAATATTTACAAAGGAAATGCGAAAGGATTATTTTATGATCTTCAATTAAGTTATTATTACAAAGTTGAGGCAAGAGTTGTAGTACCTCAGAAGCAAACTCGGGAAGTTCTTGTACAGTAGCTTTTAATGTTCCAAGATTCTTAATGCCTTACATTATATGTTTAAGATATGATCTCACTCTCACCTCAGGAATTCTCATCTCTAATAATCTTCCCCTGTAGGAGTCCTTTGGAATCCTTTTCTTAGCCTCTACACTCACAATTACCTCCCAAATTCTCTATCTGTCCCTTCCATCACAGTTCCGCCGCTCATAACGGGGCCAATGGACAAGAAACATTGTGTCACTTGAGAAGGAGTACAAAACAGCTGATGAGTGAAAGAATCTTGTTACGTAGATCTGAGCGTTTTTCAATCGCGAATTTATATTATTCATATACAACTAATCACCGACTTTGAAACCAAGGATGATTAGCGACTGTAGCGGCATCTGCTCTTTCATCAGGCTCATACTTCAACAAACTTGACAACAAATCCAGAAGTTCCTCTTGCTCCGCATCATCGAGTTGCAGATATGGCATCTGCTCAGCGGCATTCTGTATCACTTCCTTCAATGAATTTTCCTCCGCAGGAAAAGGAGTATCCTTCTTCTCAGTTCCATCCTCCTCAAACCACGACAATCTGTCCTCCCATTTCTCCCACAGCGGTCTAGGAAGCAGACCAAACAGCTCCACCTGACGTCTCAAAACGTCTTGAATTGGATGCACTAATGCCCAGAAAAGCTTTTGACCAGTTCGTAGCTCAAAGATACAGCATGCCAAGGACCAGAGGTCGACGGCAGCTGAGTACTGGCCGGTTTGCAGTAGTACTTCGGGAGCAGCATACGATGCTGGAGTGCCGAGGAATTGTGGTGGGTGTTCGACGGTGAAAGCTTCGCCGAAATCGATGATCGTGATGTCGCCGCTTATGTGCTGTAAATCTACAGAGTGTAATTGCATAGGTAGGATGACTTTCTCAGGTGCATTATCATCTCGCCGATGGTCGTTGAATGGTACTAGTGCAACTTCTATTGGTTTGCCGAATATGTCTCGTACTTTATCCATTGGGAAGTTTCCGAAATCCTCGATGTTCAGGAGGATGTTTCCAGGGTGTAAATCTACCTTTGTCAACATACTGAAGGGAGATCACGCCAGAATGACCTACCCCCATGTACCACACCAGATTGATGAAGCCAGGCTACTGCTTGGACAGTTTGATGTGCTACTTTCCTTGCAAGCGATGGCTCTAGTGTTCCATTCTGAAGGCTTTTAGACAATGAAAGAGCACTTGGTCCTGACAGGCCAAGAACTAGGCATCGATGCGTGCCATTGGGGCTTGTAACATTAAATTCATCAATGAGGTCGACCACTCGTTTGTTTTGGTCAGGATCACCAGCACCACTACTATGCTTTAAAAGACGCAAGATCTTTGCCTCATTCGATTCAGCCTTGGAGGCATTTCCAGTAAGTACTTTGATAGCAAAGAGCTCCGTTGATGGGGAATCTGACGACTTCTCAGCACTTTTCATGTCTTGAGCGAGCCAGACAGTACCAAAGCCACCAGCACCAAGCTTATGCTCAAGGCGCCAGTCTGTGCTGTCCATAACAGTCCCGATAGAAGCAGGATAGAAGCCTCCTTCTCGATAAAATTCGGGGTCTTCAACGCCTGTAATCTCGACTGGTTGAAATCTTCGACCTAACCCGACCATTTCGGAGGGGGTTTTCCTTGCTTGCTTGATTGTGGGTGGTAGTGGGCGATGGATTTGATAGAATCTTCTGGCAATACGCATTAGGAGCTGGTATTCTGTAGATACGGCTAAGCCAGCAGACAAATAAGTCCTAGAGGCTAGAGTGAAGCGATTCTCGTGGTCATGCGATGCTAGTATGGGATTTGTCTCCGTCCCGCCTTCGTTCAGGAAAGAAGCTGAGAAAAGGAAGGAATGGCTTGATTGATCAATGCGATACCCAATCTTGGAATAAATGATCGATCTAGAACGTCGTTCAAAGTAAAGAAAAATGCCAAAAATCAACAGCTTCGACCTGACTATACGGTGACATCCGGAAGGAAAGTACAGTTACAAAACGGCAGCTGTCAAAGATGTAGCTAAAAGATCCCTGTGATGAATTGTGAGCAAAATGAAGCCATGATTGGAAGCCACTCGTTCGATTCACAACGCCGCACTTGCTAGAAGAAGCTGAGAATTAAAGTATATTGAGTCAATCACGAAAATGGAAGCTACCTTGTCAAAAAGTTCGAGACGCCTCCTTTACTGCTACGAAGCTGAGTCTAGGCTATGTCAAGCTGTCGTTGTGGTGTAGGGTTGGGCGCTTTACGTAAAGCAGAACTAGATTACAATAAAACATAATATAAAGCCTTTATAATTGCTAGATTATAGTGTTACATTATGCACGTGATAAGCACTGACCAATCAGAAGCCTGCTTGTAGGGTGTAAGCCGAGGAAGACAGACGCGGTTAGTTTAAGAATTGTATAAGCGAAGGCGGGCCGCTCTAGTTTCGCAACAAGTGTGTTCCCCAGTTTCTTCAGCTTAGGCGATCAACGCCACTAAACAATTAGGCGCTATCGGGCAGTTCTCATGTCAGATCTTAGCACAAGCTGTACTGGGGACGGGGGAGGACTATCATAACGTAGAGTAGCGTGGATAGCACTCTCTTGTATTACTTTCCTGTATGGTTTATGAACGTCTATAAAAGGACGTTAATTTCCACCGAAGAATGCCAGAAAACTAATCATTCATCACTCACTTTCTTTATTCAAAATGGCAAACGTTGTTGTAGCTTACCCTACCAATCCACCTCAAGGAGTTAATGCCCTAGACTTCGCCTATCCTATTGGTGTGGAAATGATTTGGGCCGCTTCTGGATGGCCCGACAATCTACATGCCTTAAAGCCACAACGTATCGCTTTGAGCAACACTCTAGTAGCCGTCGCTCAAGCAAATAACTATGACCGTATTCATATAAGGTATGTCCGCTCGAAATGATTATCTTTTCGCTGGCTGTATCGTCCAAGCTACAAAATATCTGAATATGTCTAAGTACCATGGCTAATCATGTACTCGGATGACAGGAGCACAAACCACCCTACTACCAATTTCAATGGTGCTGTGGTCCCTTGCCCGCCTCATGTTACAGTCAGTTTTCAGAGCGCAGCTTTGCGGGCTAATGGCCAGTTCATTCCGGCCCACGTCTACCTCAATGCCGATTTGTCTCTTACTCAACCAGCGCCGCCTGCAAATGCTGCTAATGGAGTCAACGGCCAAAACCCACAATTATTCGCTGCGATGCTTGTAGTTAGAGCGGATGGGACAGTTGCAGAGGTACAGCTCAATAATGCTCCAAGAATCCCTCCAGCAGCAGGAGTCCCCTGGATTTAAGCTTGGATGGAAGGTCAGGATATGTGAGATTTTGAGCTTGTAGAAAAATACACTGAATTGAAACTATCTAAGGTGCTAATCACAGGACACAATATATAGTAGCGTTTATTATATCCTCAAAACTATGTCCAAAAGAGTGAATTTACGTGCTTCCATATGCAGTTGAACAGGTGGTATCCTTGAAACTTGTATCTGATTTGGGAATGCCCTTAGTTCTTCACAGGATTCCTGGGCTCCTATCACAATAAAATACATGTGAGATTCATAGAATGATTACGGGATATATCTTATATTATATGGAGAATTACTTAGCGATGAGTTCTAGTCAAAGGAAGTCAACACGGTTCTTAAACCAACTTTCTGTTTATTGTTGTCTGGCAGGCAATATGTCTTGACCTGTCACTTTCTTTATGCACAATTCAAACTGTTTATAAGTGATCTCCTTCACTTCAATTTCAAATGAAATCTTCTTCATTACTGGTAGAATTTTGTATCAAAAAATAATATATTCATTTGTACTAGCGATTAATCATATTATGACAAAAGCTCGCTAAAAGTAAATGATTGAAAAATATCATCAAATATTGAGTTCTAGAATCTGTAAGAAAGGAAATTATATGATTGTGTTTACGTTTCTACCCTTCTAGAATATGGCTAGTCTTTCTCTAGCTTACATTGTGGGTGAGGTCATGGTTGATAAAACTGATAAAATCTCTGCTCTTTCATTATATAATTATAAACACAGTCTATTGCCTGGCTGTTTTCTACTAGCACGCTCCCAAAGCTCAAAGACAGAGGACCTGATTGATCGTATGATTTCGGTGGCCCCGAAACGCCTTTATTGGTAGGAGGAGCATAGTGCAAACCCCTGAGACCTGCGCCACAACTTCTTGTTGTAGTGTTTTCTTCTTGATTAGGGTAGTAGAAACAAGCCTTGTTTGAAATCTACGTCTATTATCCTAATATTCCTAGCTGTGATAATTTCCCTGGCAGATATTTACATCTAGTCATTTCTTCAAATTCAAGTCAGATTTATTTCACCCCAAGTCGCTCAGTGACAATCTGTTGTCCGACAATCAACTTTCATTATTTATGTAAAAAGTTCATCGTGTAAAAATATGTAGTATAACTGAGTATAAAACGTCGCAAAAAAAATCATTTCATTTAAGAGATGAATACTATGGGATCATGCCACTACTAGCTATAATATCAGACATTCAAGCAGACGAAAGATGAAGCTGAGCAGTATTGATAGCCGCCTCTGCCGCCTCCAACGCCTTCAACTGCTCAGCAAGTTCTACAGTAACACTCTTCTTCTCATCATCATTATTGCAGAGCTCATCTTGCACCGCCTTTGCCGGCGTGATCAAAGTCATGTCAATCAACCCCATAGAAATAACCTTGAGAATATCACTCGCCAAAGCCTTTTTTCTAGTGTCCAGCTTGGCGATTGATGCAGCATTCTGCATGTCACCCAGGAGATCAGCAAGCTCATCTTGCTGCTTCTTCAGAGCGATGATCGGGGTGCGAAGTTCCTCGCAGTGTGCTCGAGTAGCTTCTGCTACGGAGAGCAAGGATGGCATAGTGGCAAGAGCGTTGTTGATCTCCATCAAGCGGTGTTCAGCCTCGGCCTGGCGGATTCGGGCAGCGGCAACTTCTTGGTTACGAGCCATCACGTTTCCTACTGCGTTATTGAGATTGTTGCGAGCATCGTTCACGCGATCTCTTGCTTGTTGTACCACAGTGAATTGTAAGGCAGCTCCGGCGGGAGGACAGAAGATCCAAGCAAAGACAGTCTTGGTTGGGGTTTAGTTAGCTTATAGATTATGTACACGGGCTTGGTTTGAGCTTACTCCAATTTGAGCACCAGTGGCAGCATCCTCATCATCGGACAGTCGACGCTGAGCATTTTCAAGCTCATGCTGTGCTGCATTTGCAGTTTCTTGAGCCTGGTTTGCACTGTCTTGTGACGTGGAGGCCGCTCTACTCGCATATTCGGCTTGCGCGATCATCGATGCTTGTCTTTCCTTAGCTTCATTGAGGGTAGGAATGAGCTTGTCATCAACAATATTGGCAATCTAAAAAAAATAGTTAATTTCTGATCAATTCTGAAGAATGTAACTGTAGTGCGCATGCCTCTTGATCAGTTGTATCAACGTGCTTCTCAGCATCATCGGCAATAGCCTTGATCTTCTCACCACCAGCAACAAGATTATTAATCTTCGAGGTCGTCTGGGCGCGGACAGGTGGAGTGAGAGCTGTCTTGTCATAGTTTCCACGAATGGCAACCGCCAAGTCAAGCAGTTCACCGAAGAAGCTATTGGAAGCTCCAAGAAGCTGTTGACGACTGTCAGCAATGAAGCTAGTCAAGTTGTTGGACTTGCTGATTGCTTCATTGCTTGCCGCCTGGCATCGATCGAGAAGGTCTTGTCCGTTACTACCCATTGTGGTGAATGATTTTAAGGAATTCTCAAGAGTAAGTTTGAAAATATTGATGATGAGATAAGGGGAACTGTGTTGTTGTCCACTTAGTTCTGTTTTATCCGTGATCAAGACTGTAGTCTTTATAGTCGTTGGCAGTATCTAGGTGCTCAACTTTCGACGTTCACCTTGTGAGACCATTTTCAAAAACAATAAATCGCGGTTAGATCAGACCATCGCTGAAATCGTGGCCGAGAAGCCACGTTACTATCTCAGCTCGTGAAGAACGGCTTCACCGTGCAATATCTTCTTCTCAAACGAGTCCCACGAGCTCAGCAGCGTTCTGGAAGCCACTACATCTCCAGGAGTCAAAATAACTCTTTTAAGCCAGCCTTCCTCAAGATTATCAAAGTGTAATACGACCCAAGGAGCTTAATGTAGATATGCACATGCAATGTGATAAACGGAAGTGTGATTCAGACTCGATGAGAATACCCTGAAGGACTAATTTAGGCCCGGTAAGGGTAACTTAACGCCTGTAAACTTACTAAACCTATTTCAGAACGGAGCTTGGCCCTTTTTTGGCTCAATGCGGTAATATTGAGGTTGATGGAGGAGTAGGAGCGGTAGTCAACCACCTCGATCTAATGATCAATATACCCTCTGCTTCACTTTTCCTTTAATTCTACCTTCCTTATACTCATTGCCACCTTCTGATTTAATCATATCTTTTATAGTTAAGTGGTTGAGATATAGGTTGAGATATAGATTGAGATAGTACTACCGGTGATATGATAGTAATGGTGACGAAGAAGGGCTTAGCTATTCTTCTTCAGTGCAATTAACCTCTAATTGATCAACTTATTCCTTATCCTATAAGCAGGAATGATCAGATAAATTATCAAAATCCTCTCAAACTCCTCAAAATTATCGAACTGTTCGCTTTCATCTTCCATTGTTATTAGTGCCATGATTTTTGAACATCCCTTCATCAAAAAAGTGTAATCTTTGGTATGAAAATGACTATTCTCGGTGAAGGAATAACCCTAACCTTAACCGACTAATAGTCGGCTATTTGGAAAGGCCAGGCCAACTACAGTACTTCGTAATCAGGGAAAACGAATGTCCCCGGAAAGCGAATCAATATTGAATATGAGCTTTGACATTAAAAAGCGAGGGACAATTCGCTTTGCGGGGACATTCCCTTTCCCCGACTTTCAAGTAACCGACCATTGAAATGCTAGCGAACATCGTATCCACAATAGCCGATATGGCTCAATCCACTCTTTATAGTGGGTCTACAGGGGGGGCTACAAAGAGTTTAATGCCCAATTAATCTAAATTACAACGAGAACTACCCTATAAGAATAGGGTAGAAGTGAGATTATAGGGTATTCTCATCGAGTCCGAATCTACTCATGAGTGGTTTAAATAGCCGATGTCAAAACGCCACGACGGTGCCCTGCAGCTAACATCAGCATCTGGACAACGCCACAGGGTTTGAAAGGGACCCCACACCCCGCATGACAGAGGGCTGATGCTACACTCTAGCCCTGTTGACACTACCTCGATTGCTCTGAACGCTGGGGTGACGACGTGCCCTTTCGCTCAGCGACGACTTCATTTCATTGATGGCGAGCTGAATTGATCTATTCTCCTCAGCCAGCCAGGAAGTTGATAATATCGGTCTGAAGTATTTCGACCATTCTAGTTCTATGGTCGACCAAAAAGGCTGGCTCAACTAGAGCTGAGCATGTTTTTAGAATCTCGAAACTTTTTACTGGCCAGAAAATCAAGCTTCATGATCATGCGAGTTATTTCATTCTCGTTTGCAGGACAGAGACACTCGTCGAGGCAGGAATACAAATAGGACGATCTCTCGTCTCTGTCGAAGAGAATCATTCAAGCAAGAAATCATCATCTTCTTTTCAAACTACTTCCACAATGTCTGACACTGCCATCACCGCAAATCTCTCGCCTTCTGAAATTCAGAAGGCGGTCGTCGAGGCCTCTAATGTTCGAATTCGGGCCACGGCTACCGACACTTCTGCTAAATTTGTAGCCTCGATCAAGGGTTCTGCTATGTTTCAAAACAACTGGGATGAACTTCTCAGTGCTGCTCCGATGTCAATCTCTCTTCTCGGATCTTGCCTCATTGCTGCAAGCTCATCTACTTCAACCACTGTCACACTAACCCCACCAAGGGGTGGATTCCAATTTCTAAGCTACAAGCAGCTGCGGCCTAACATGATCCAAATCGTGGATACTGGCAGAGAATGCTTCAGAATTGCCGATTCTAACATGGATTTCATTGCACAGGCTTCGAACAAGATGTATGACACGGTATGTTGGTGTCTCGACTTGGTGAGAAATGTGGCTAACAATACAATGCAGCTTGATGATGTCGTTAATGATCTAAGCGGTACTCCACAAGATGCCAAAGATGGCCTTGACATTCACATGGACATTCTCAAGAAAGGTGCACTTGAATGTAAGGAAAAGGCTGTAAATATCGATACCGCCTTCGGCGACTGGCTAAAGTATGTCAACGAGCTACATCAGGTCTCTGAGGAAACCATGGGCGATAACGACTCCAAGAAAGCAGCCAACGACATCAACCTCAAAGTTCAAGATATTTTGCTCGACAAGACTTCAATTGCTGAGCAAACCTCCAAAAAAGCGGTTGAGTCTTTAGGTGAGAACCTTAAGGTAACAAGAGAAGCCTTCAAGAAGGCATCGGATAATTACCCCAGTGGGTGAGTGTGACACCTCCATTCAGAATTTACAGTGTCTGACACTTCTTAGATGGGATCTCGTAGGAATGGACCTTGTCTCTGGACTTGGCAACTGTGTGATCAGCGCTGCTAATGGTGTAGTACAAAAGCTTACTGGGGGAGGTTCTCAACAGCAGCAGCAGAACGGCAAAAAAGCTGGCGGCAACCAGTCCTCAAACCAAAAGGCACCGCTCCCCAAGTACTGGGACGACCCAGCATACACTCAGATCCTCGCTTTCTCCGACCCCATCAGCACCCTCCGAGCAATCGTTGTCGGAGGCGCAGATGGGGGAGTAGATTGGGAAGGGGCGACAGGAAAATCCGCGAGTGGCACTCTTGTTTTTGTAAAGACCATGCTCGCCACGGCTAAGAGCAGTTTCACCTCTACTGGCAACCCACCCAGTGTTGACTATCAGACTTTGCTCGATGACAGTCTTGCTCTCGTCACAGCCTTGATGGCCGTGACTGACAAGAAGACAGCTGTCGGCTGGAAAGCTCCAGATCCGAAGAGCGACCAGGTCAAGCAATGGCAGGCCAAAGTTACTGAGATCTACAGCAAGGCTTCTGCCCTCAGCGCTACAGCTAAGACCATGCCTGGTGTCGGTGGTAATCCAGTAAGTTTATGAAGTTTGGGCTCCACCTTGCATGCGAGTTCCAGCTAACAACATCAGGCACCACTTCTCAACCAAGGTAATCAGAGTGGCAACATGCCAAGTGGGGGTTCTCTGGCTGAGAAAGCCCTCAGCAGTGCTGCTACCAATCTGAAGGAGACGCAAGCCGCTATGGTCTCGACACAAGACACGTATCTCAAGTCGACTGAGAACTTGGCCAAGATTCAGGCCAGCCTTGCTGATATCAAAGGACAGCTTGAGAAACTCAAGGCAGACAGTATCACACTTGAGCAGATCCGCGCTATTCTCATCAAGTGCATCGATGTCATTTGTGATCTCAAGGTCCAAATCGGCAAGCTCGTGCAGTTCTTTGATGCTCTTGCTACCATGGTAACTTTTGCAACTGACTACCACGTCACTCCTTTCCTCGTTTACCTTGACAAGATCATTGCTGGTCTTCCACAAGGCCCAGGTATCAATGGCTTCACTTTTACTGATCTCCAACGCCAGGTAGGTAGTCTTCTTCTTCCTGCAAGCATAAGATCTAACGCTGTGCGGTAGAATATCTTCAGCATGACTCTGTTTATCCGAGGATATTACAGCATCTTTAACTCTATTGCCTTGATGTATGGCAAGATTTCCAAACAATGGATCATGCCAGGTATGGCTAAAGTTCTCGAGCTTAGCAAGCAGACAGACGATCAAGACAAGCTCGAGAAGAAACGTCGAGATTTGAATGCCTTCACCACCAATGCACAACAAGCAATCCACACCGAGGTCACTTTGGTGAGTCACTTCCAGTACAACACATCTGCATAACTGATTAGACTTTCCTCTAGGCTCAACAGAAGATGCTTGCAGGTATGGAACAGCGTGTTAAGGCCATTGCCAATGAGACGAAGCTGCTTCCTCCCCCTCCACCAGCCATCACGAAGGCTATTGAGCAGGGTTCCAACGTCGTCGCTGATGCGGCACAAAAGAGTATCGAGGCGTACAAGCCATCTAGTGCTAGCCAGTTGGTAAGTCTAATTCTCTCTAGACGTTTATGAACGAGGCTTTGTACTAACAAATTTCTTTCTAGAAACTTCCTCGTGACGACTGAGGTATTGAAGATTGAATGGTGACTCTACAACACGATAATAGTGCTATCGCAGACTGAAGAGCTGGTTTCTGGTGCGGCAAGGCAGATATGTAACGAGCAATGAAATGAATATACAAAGTATGAAAAACAAGAAGAAACTATATCTGTTATTTATCATCTTTCATACTTCTCTTAGTTTTGAGTAATAAATACAAACTCACGATAAATCTGAATTACAACAAGAACATTGCCCACATGGTAAAAACAAGAGCAAAAGAGGATCTTCCCAACCTATCAACACGAAGCGAGCGTGTATCTCATGTCTGTCCAGTGACACTGTCTTTGGTGGTCCCATTAAGTATAAAGTCCCCAGTCAAATTCCCGCACAACCTCAGTGCAAGCCTTGAACGCGTGGGATCGAGGTATTTGCGAAGTTCTGTTAGAATGAGAGACCAGAACTTGATGTAAATTGCGGTTGCATGAATAAGAAATCTATCATCTTGAGTCTAATATATCTATACATAAGTACCTTTCATGTTACCAACGAGGTGTACGAAACAGATTGTGATAATACCTACAGTGATGATCATCCTTCTTCGCATCAACCTTGGACATCCAACAATGACTAGTAACTCTCCTGGCCTATAAGAAGTGTCATGTTTCAATGTTCTGTCGTTCCGTCATCCTCTGGTCTTATATCGTTGTTTTGTTCAAGGTGATCAGGATAGGTGCGTGAATGACTGATCTGGGATCATTGTAATCCGGAATTTAGAGTCAGCAAGAATTTCATGATCTCAAGGATTGAACACGACCGGTCACTTCTTTTGATGTACACGTTCAAGGTGCTACCAGATTCCGCAAAGCCGTTTTGGGGATATGCATTTTCAGCGTGGATCATATCAGAGACCTGTGTGCGCGTGCCGTCCTCAGAGTACTCCCTTTACAACAATAGCACGTGTGGCCTAATGAATGGAGGAAAATGTCTAGGCCTGGTTGAGTAGCGCAGCCGATAATTTGCATAAGTGTTTTCGGAGTTGAGCAATGCCCAATCTTGTAATAGACCTTTTGCGTGTATTAATACCTTCAATAGACCCTATAACAACCAAACTCCAAACTAGAAGTTTCAGCCCTCCAGCCTCCAGTAAAATCTCCAACAATCAATGATTAAAAATCAATCTCTGCTAACTATTGTAATCTTACTTAAAAGACTTACTAAGAATCTATCAATATTAATCATCTCCAAGATACCAATACCAACATTCCCAACCAAGCACATGCACTCAGCAGCGACCAGAAAAGAGACTTAAGCTTCGATGACATCCATTGACAAAGCTTGTCGACAAAGCATACCAAAATATCCTCAACAACCTACAACGAATACTGTCCTTAACAAAAATAGTAAGCTTGGTTAAGTCCTAATTATAAGAATACGGATTGGAGATTCAAAAGAATGTGGAAGCGGCTTAATAAATAGAGGATGGAAGATAATTTATTGATAAGCTTTGGAGTCTTAGCATTGGTTACCTAGACTGGGTTTTTTGTTATGGTATCAGCAAGACAAGATATCCTCGATTGGCTTGCCCCGCATGATTGATTACACTACTCAATAAAGCAATATTCTTCGAATTCATGACCGACAAGAAGGTAAGTCTTAGCTGCCAGTAACTCTTTGATTCTCTACAATTTAGATCGTGGTTAGAGGCTGATCAGTAGACATTGTTCTGCCCAGGTATTTCAGGCGCCGGAAAAACAATAATTGAGATCAATATTATTAGATAATTCCTAATAAAGAATTTCAAAAATTGATTATTAATTTCAATAAAATATCTTTATGAACTTTAATATTATATATTAATAAATAATTCCTTTTAAAATTATTATATTTTAGATTTTAGATTTTAGATTTTTTAATTTATTTATTTATTTATTTATTTATTTATTTATTTATTTATTTATTTATTTATTTATTTATTTATTTATTTATTTATTTATTTATTTATTTATTTATTTATTTATTTATTTATTTATTTATTTATTTATTTATTTATATTTTATCTTTTAATATATCTCAAGATTTATATTTATATTTGTGACGGAAATCCCTGCTTTCCTCCCACCCTTATTATATAAGAAACCTCAGGTACATTAACCATGTCCACACATGATACGATTACTCGGGATTAGTATGCGATTTAGGTGACCTGAGGATCAGATCCGGACAAGTACTAGGTATCAATGGTTATCGGTAAAGTAAGATCATTGGAGGGATAAATATGAATTCTTTTTGCCTAGCCCATTACGGCTAGGCCATTTATTTGTGTATATATAGAGTAGCTATCCCCATCTACAGGTGCTCTTCACCTGTAGATTCTAAGTTAAATACAATTGCTGGTCTATAAAACACCCTTTTGGTCACAATATTCAAATACATCATATATAATACACTCCCACCCCCCTTCCCTTGACCTATTTCCCCCACCCCTTGAACAACCCTCCAAAAAGCCCCTCACCTCCCGGATGCATACCCCTCCACTCCTCCCCCCTCCTCGCCACCCCCCTAACCCACTCTTCTAGCCCCTCCCTTCCCAACCTCTGAATCTCATCCGCATTCAACCTTCCCCTTTCCCTCCCTCCCTCCATCCCCCCACCACCAATTCCACCCAACCCCTCCCCACCCACCTCCCCCCTCCAAAAAACCACCAAACTCGGGACACTCCTAACCAAATACCTAATTCCCAACCCCTCCCTCAACAAATCCGGCGCATCAAATTCCACTTCCGTATACAGAACTCCTCCTTCTTTCTCCCCCGTTCCATTCTCTATAATTTCGTGAAATAAAGGGGAGATTGTGCGGCAGGAGGAACAGGATGAGGTTTCCAAAGGGTGAGGGGGGTTTTGAAGTTTAAAGCCCCCCAGAAAAGTTGGTTAAAGGGGAGGTCGCGGTGCACCACTTTGGAGGGGGGGGGGGGGGGGTTAGTAGGTTGATTGTAAGTGGAGGGGGGGGGGAAATGAAGGGGAGAAGGGAAGGGACGTACGGTGAGCATATTCTATTTTGACCTTTATTTGGAGGGGTACTTGCGAAATGACGATATCGGGATGGTATTTGAGAGTGAGAGTGAGAGATTGATATTGCTATTGGGGTCGAGGATTTAGGAAAAGAATATGAGATGCGTTTTAGAGGGAGCATGATGAAATTGAAGTGTGAATTTGTGAATTGTGAATTGAGAATTGATGCTTTTTGATGAGAGGTGTAGAGGTTCACTCTCGCGATTTGAATCTTGAATCTAGAATATACTCGAGCGTAGGTATTGATAATTAATGAATCCAACACAAACAATACAATACGTCTTTCTTTCTCTCTTTCTTTCTTTTTTCCCAAACAAAATTAATAAAGCGTATATATAAACTATCAAGATAAGATTCCTCAAAGTATATAATAACAATAATACCAGATAATTTCAAGATTCAAAAAATCAATAATTCATCTCATCTGCAGATTCAAAGCTTAGAGCTCGTACGAGTATAGCTCAAGATATTATAACTATGACATAATTATGATTTCTTGAACGCAGAAAGCTAAACCTATTATGGTAAACTAATTTAGCAGGTACTCGAAGATAGCTTTTGCGATGGGATGGGATGGGATGGGATGGGATGGGATGAAGTTGTTTTTGGGTATTGGTTTGGATCAATGTCTAGCTATGTATAATAGGGAGGGAAGTTGAGGATGTATTTATTTTATGGTATAATTATGATGTTTATTGTGTTGATATAGGATGTTACATGCGATAATCTGTATAGTGTTAAGGTACTTGCTTGATGGGGTGAATATATATCCATACATGCCTAGTAGATGTTCCCCTTTATAGAGTAATTGGATTCATACTATGAGAAAATCAAGCATTGAATATGAAAGCACCAGGAAGTGAAGAATAGGAAGAATGATAAAGGAGAAAAGTACATGAAATTCAAATATATCATTGATCATACATTTCAATTCATAACCATATTCTTTGTTGTATTCCACTCAATCCTTTTCATATCATGTCATGTCATGGCATATAATCCTGAAATTTTCATCCTCCTTCCTCGACCGCATTCTCAAAACTGTTCCTTCTGCTCCCTAGGTACTCTTGGATTGTTTTCTTCTCCCTTATATTCCAATAGCATCACACTCTTCCCGTTTCATCATCAATCCACACTCTCTCATCCTAATATCACCATTCTCCCACCCATTGTCATCCCCTCCAAATCATGCCACATAAAAAACCTGATCAATACCCTTCCACCAACCCTTCTCATCCGTACTTCCTTTACTCCCCTCAACCAACGTCTCTTGAAATGAATCCGTCATTTCCCACCACTCTCTAACCTTTGGATTTTCCCTCATTTTCTCCATATCACCCGCATAATCATATCCTACATATTTGAACGACGCGAAAAGAATATTTGATTCAGGGTCATGAAAGATAGAATCTATTATGCATTTATTAGCCTACATCCATATACGATAAGAGAAGACCGAAACTTCCGCAGCAGAAAAAAGAAAAGAAATTTCCAACATACCAATTCTCCAATACAACATTTC